AGTTCTGCCACTGAAACCTCATCCCTGACCCCCTTGAAAACATTTTAGAACACTGGAGAGAACCTCTCTAATGACGTGGGACTTACCATTGTCCCTATTCTAGACACACTTAAAAAGTAAGAAAGCCGGAGCTAGGTGCAGCCAATTATCATAAATAAGTCAGGAGGACATGGTCTAAACTTTGTGATTCCTTCAGTGTATGTGAAGTCTTTCCTTGTGACAGTTATACATATTTTAGCATTAACATCTGATGCCCTGTAAAGCACTAGGTCACTGAAACAAGTTGAATTTCCTTGTAGAACTGTGAACACTCACCTGCTTTTCCCTTTGGTCTTTCATGTTCTGTTAGTAGATCGACCAGACAGGTACATTAAGAGAGGGATTTCTGGGGCTGGAGCAATAGCAAGCACAGTGGGTAGGGCATTTGCCTTGCACGCAGCCAACCCAGGTTCAATTCCCAGCGTCCCATATGGTCCCCTTAGTACCGCCAGGGGTAATTCCTGAGCGCAGAGCCAGGAGTAGCCCCTGTGCATCGCTGGGTGTGACCCAAAAAGAAAAAAAGAGAGAGAGAGAGAGAGGGATTTTCAAGCTTTTAGTTTTATGACCCAAGGCTGGAGCGATAGCACAGCGGGTAGGGCGTTGTTTTCCTTGCATGCGTCCGACACGGCCGACCCGAGTTCGATTCCTCCGTCCCTCTTGGAGAGCCTGGCGAGCTACCCGTGACGTATTCGATATGCCAAACACAGTAAAAAGTCTCACAATGTTACTGGGCCCGCTCGAGCAAATTGATGAACAACGGGAGAACAGTGACAGTGAAACTTAAGCACTGCAGCAGCAGTTTGGTGGCTGGTGGTGAGAGTGGGCAGCAGTGCCGGGAGCGGGGTGGGGATTATACCTGGAAGGCATCGCCTCTGCATACCTCAATCTCTTCTCTGGGGGGTTGGGTCACACGCCGGGACCGGGGTTTCAGGGTAAGAGCCACGTTCGCTGCATGCGAGGCAAATGTCTACCTCTTGGGTCCAATGTCCTAAACAAAATTTAAGAATTTTTGTTTAGGGGCTGAGAGATAACGAAACCCAAAAAAAAACATAAGCCCATTAAAGGGTACCATTCCGTATCCACTAATGGCATGGTTAAAGTCTGTTGACCAGATGATGTGACAACAGAAAATCAGACTTTGCATCGAGAAACTTAAAGTTGATGTTTTTCAGAGTTCTTTAGATTATGGAGTCCCAGGAGAGGTAGAGAATCGTCTGTCCTTGGGGTTCACAGCCCACTCTGCAGCCCCTCTGCCAGCCCCGCTTGGCGCTGCGGCATACGTCTGCACCAGTGCCACCTGCACTCACTCCCATCCTTGCGGTGTGTGTGTTCTCGCCGGGCCGGTGCTTTCACAATGTTATGTACACAGTGTTGTGTACAAAGCTTCAGGGTTTTCTTTTGCTAATCCCTTGAGGATCTGGAAAGTACCTTTTTAGAATTTTGTACATAACATTGTGTCAAAAATAATATTTTTCCATGAAGTTAATGGCGGTAGGGCGTTTGCCTTGCATGCAGCCAATGTGGCCGACCCGAGTTCGGTTCCTCCGCCCCTCTCGGAGAGCCCGGCAAGCTACCGAGAGGATCTCGCCCGCACGGCAGAGCCTGGCAAGCTCCCGTGACGTATTCGATATGCCAAACACAGTAACAATAAGTCTCACGATTGGAGACGTTATTGGGCCCGCTCGAGCAAATCGATGAACAACGGGAGGACCGTGACCGTGACCGTGAAGCTGATGGAAGGTACATATTTCTTTTTCAATCTTATTTTGCTTTCAGAGGCTTTTTAAATGTTCTTTCTCATTTGAACTGTGCCAGAGCGATAGCACAGCAGGTAGGGCGTTTGCCTTGCACGCAGCCGACCCGGGTTCGATTCCTTCACCCCTCTTGGAGAGCCCGGTACGCTACCAAGAGTATCATGCCCACACGGCAGAGCCTGGCAAGCTTCCCATTATGTATTCGATATGCCAAAAACAGTAACAGGTCTCACAATGGAGATGTTGCTGTTGCTCCCTCTAGCAATTCAATGAGTGCTGCAGTGCTACGTTGGAACTATTTTCTCCTAAATTAGTAGATAGATGGAATGAACTTAGTCCATTTGTTTTATATATATATATGTATATATATATCACTTAATCACTTAATCACTTAACTTCCCGTTAGTCGTCGATTTGCTCGAGCGGGCGCCAGTAACGTCTCCATTTGTCCCTGTCGCGTGCTAGTGTAGCCCAATGGCATCTGTTCGCTCTGGGAACATGAAGGGCCTCAAACCGATCGTTCATGATCTTGACGAAGAAGTCTGACCATCTGGTAGGTGGGCGGCCACGCGGTCTTTTGACATCCCGTGGAATCCAATCAGTAACAGCTCTAGTCCAACGGTCGTCTTTAAATCTCATTACATGACCAGCCCATCTGATTTTCGACACCTTGGCAAATGAGACAGCGTCCCTGATCCTTGATCGTCGACGGATGTCAGAACTCCGGATTCGTTCTCTCATTTGAGTGAAACGTGATATTCCAAGCATAGCTCTTTCTATTCTTCTTTGGGAGACCTGAATAGCGTTCTCATCTTGTTTGTCATCCATGACATTGCGTTCTCATCTTGTTTGTCATCCATGACATTGGCAACTATCGCCCGATCTGCCTATTGTCTGTCATCTACAAGTTGTTCACTCGAGTCATCCTGAATAGGATTGGCAGAACATTAGATGAAGGACAACCATGCGAGCAAGCAGGGTTCCGCAAAGGATTCAGCACCATCGACCATATCCACACGATAACCAAGCTCATTGAGGTTTCTCGGGAGTTCAAGATGCCGCTCTGCTTAACGTTCATTGATTTAAAGAAGGCCTTTGATTCTGTTGAGACGGAAGCGGTCATTGAAGCCCTAGCCAATCAGGGCATTCAAGCCCAATACATCAGGATCCTCCGTGAGCTGTATTGCGGATTCACTACCAGGATCTCACCATTCTACAAAGAAGTGATCATTGATGTCAAGAGAGGGGTGCGGCAGGGTGATACCATTTCACCGAAACTCTTCAGTGCCACCCTCGAGAACATCATGCGACGACTGGAATGGGAAGGAATGGGAGTGAAGATAGATGGTCGGCAACTACACCACCTCCGCTTTGCTGATGACATTGTTTTAATAACACCAAACATCAGCCAAGCGGCACAAATGCTGGCCGACTTTGACCGTGAGTGTGGAAAGGTAGGACTACAGCTGAATCTTACGAAGACAATGTTTATGAGAAACAGCCTTGTTCCTGACGCCCCATTCGCTCTCAATGGAACGACCATCTCCGAATGCAACAGCTATGTCTACCTAGGTCGAGAGGTCAACATGACAAATGACCTGGCACCCGAGCTGCGCAGGAGGAAGAGAGCGGCTTGGAACGCCTTCAAGAACGTCGAAGAAATAGCTAAGAGGACGAAGAACCTCCGGCTCCGGGCACATCTCTTTGATTCCACTGTTCTTCCTGCATTAACATATGCCTCAGAGACCTGGGCCCTACGTATATATATATATGTCTAGCATATATTTTTATATTTATAACATTGGCATATACTGGGGGAGGGAGGATTCGGACCACAGGGCAATTCTCACTCTTATCTCTGTGCTCGGGGATCACTCCTGGTGGTGCTCAGGGGGACATATGTGGTGTCTGGAATCAGGTTGGGGTCAGTCACTTGCAAGGCAAGCACCTGAACGCCTGCATCTCTCTCCAGCCCCATTCACATAGATTATAATTCTACAGTCAAAGTCTTCATAATGGTATATGTGAACTAATTAAATATGACAGTTGGAATAGGGAAATTGAAGGCTGAATTAGGAATCGGTGCAAGAATGTTTTTAGTTTAGGTTTGGGGGCACACCCAGCAAAGCAGGGCAAGTTCCCTTTCCAGCGTACTAGCTCCCTGGCCCCCAAAATGTATTTCGTGTCTGCCTTGTTGACCTGTTTCAATGTGTAAATAAGATCTGTTTAAAAATAGCCTTATTGGAGTGTAATTCATATGTTACATAGTTCACTCAGTTTTAGTCTTCTGGACCTGCTACTTAATCCAGTGCAGAGACGTTCATCTGTCATCACAGTATTCAGAACGTTTTTTTTTCCCACCACAAGAATCTGCACCCCCCCTGGCCTAGCCTTAAATCTCCTTTCTGCTCAGTGTATCTGCCTGTTGGCACACAGTGTAATGGAAGAGCACACTAAGTGACCTCATGACTGCTACCTTTTAAGTGTTCCCGAAGATTGTTGCATGTCATCTTTTTTTGTTGTTGAATAGTATTCCATTCAGTGGGCATACCCAATTTATTGAGTCATTCTTCAGTTAATGAACATATTCTGGCTGTTGCAAATAATGTTGCCATGAACATGTATAAAATAGAAGATTTTCTTTCCTTCAAGTAAATTTATAGAAGTGGGGTTGCTAGATTATATGGTAGTTCTTCATTTAACTTGACTGTTCTGGGAGCCGGGGATCGAACCCTGAACCTCATGCATGGGGATCGAACCTGAACGCCATGCAGAACCTCTCCCCTGGTTCCACCTTTCTTGGGAAACTCCTAGGCTGCTCTGTACCTTTGTCTGCCCTGTACCTTTGTCTGCCTGCTGCAGTATGGGGCATTTAGACTTCTCCACATCCTCACAGTTCCTAATTATATATGTATATATGGCTTTTCAGCTAAAGTACAAATGTTTTTTTAAAAACTTAAGTTTAAGCCACGTTTCAGGTGGGTTTTTGTTTTTGTTGTGGGGGGGGCGGCACACCAGCTGTGCTCAGTGGTGAGTTCCGGCAGGGCCTGGAGACCGTGCTGTGCGGGAGACTGGGGTAGGTCTCCCAAACACCGGCAGGGCATGTGCTCAGCCCACTGAGCGCACTCTGGGCCCACAGCCTCTCAAAATTATGTCTCACAAAATGATGTCTGTTAAGTCTGTGTTGGTGTCTTTTTTTCCTAATAGGCTAAAGAAATTCTAACGAAAGAATCAAATGTGCAAGAAGTGCGTTGTCCCGTTACCGTGTGTGGAGATGTGCACGGCCAATTCCATGACCTCATGGAACTCTTCAGGATCGGTGGCAAGTCACCAGACACAAACTATCTCTTCATGGGAGACTATGTGGACAGAGGATACTACTCCGTGGAGACGGTGACACTCCTTGTGGCACTAAAGGTATGTTTCTTGAAATTCTGCTTTCTTTTACAAGCTCTAACCTTGTTAAATCATGATTATACTTGTGTGGCCCTGTCAGCTGGCTCTGGGCATAGATTCTGGGCAGATCATAGATAGTGGAAACATACTACAATCCAAACTTTGTAACGGGATCGAGTCTGCTTTTGCAACTCTGGTTATTTTATTTTATGTATTATCTGATAACCTTTTCATACCTTGTGTCAGAAACATTATTCACGATCATGATCATCCTGTTGTAGGCCCCAGTAACGTGTCTCCTGTCTTAGCCCTAAGATTTTAAAAAGTGCCATAATCAAGGCTCTTTCGGGGTTAGGAGAATGAGACCCATCATTGTTACTGGTATTTGGCATATTGGGTACGCCATGGGGAGTTTGCCAGACTCTGCTGTGTGGGCAGGTAACATTCGGTAGCCTGCCAGGTTTTCAAAAAGTAAGAATGAGATAATAAGGTGTCCGGGAGCGGAGTTTTATAGCCTCTGGGTCTTGGCCGTTGATGGGATTACACGGCGCCAGGGGGTCAGTTGGTGGGTGTGACCCCCGCCTACTGGGATTTGGAGGATCTGGGTGGAGGATGCTCAGCCCCGATCTGATCAGGCTTGGAGATCTCAGCCCCGGGACCCGCGTGCCTTTGTTCCTCTGCCGGTACCTTCATGCGTGTGGCGAGTGGTCTCAGCATGGTTGTGGCTGGTTCTGGAGGTCTTCGGCTGCCAGAGCTCTGCTCGGGGCGGGGAGGGAAACTCAGCATTATTAATTAAGAGAAACATTATTAATTAAGTAGTATTCGTTAAGGTATGTCATGTTTTATTGTGGACCAGCAACTATTAAATACATTTGAAATCTTGCCCAGATTATGCAGGAGCTGTTTCTCTTGGCAAAAGCAGCATGTAGAGATGTTTGTCAGAGGTCCAAAATTCAGACTTCTAGTATCCATTCAGAGTTTAGGAGTAACGGTATTTTGGGAAGACTTAAAATTTAGACTTGAGACATTTACAAGTTTATTTAATAACATAGGTATTAGGTGATATGAATTCCAGTGAAGGTGGTATAAATAGCAAAGAAGAATGGTTGTAAAACTTTTCATAGTTTTTGAATTTTTTTTTCTTTTTGGGTCATACCTGGTGATGCACAGGGGTTACTCCTGGCTCTGCACTCGGGAATTACTCCTGGCGGTGCACGGGGACCATATGGGATGCCAGGGATGGAACCTGGGTCAGTCACATGCGTGGCAAATGTCTTACCCACTGTGCTATCCCTCCAGCCCCCAGACTTTTCAAAGTCTTTAAACAGTAAGACCTGGTTATGAAAGAGATTTGGGGATGGGGGCCACACCTGGCAACGTTTGGGGTTTACTCCTACCTTTGTGCCCAGGAATCATTCCTGGCAGAGCTGGGGGTGGGGGAGGTTAAACCAGCGTCAGTCACATACAGTAGACAAGCGCCTTACCCCATGTACTTTATCTCTCTGGCCCCATGAATGAAAATGAAAATGTTTTTATTGTTAAAAAAAGAATTAGCATTTAACTCATAGTCAGGAAAAAGAGGAAGCATTTAAGGATATGGGTCAGAGGTTAATGTGCTTAACATGAAACTAGCAAAAATGTGTTTTCTACCGTGGGCTCTGCTTTTTTTCCAGGTGCGTTACCCAGAACGCATTACAATATTGAGAGGAAACCATGAAAGTCGACAAATTACACAAGTATATGGTTTTTATGATGAGTGTCTACGAAAGTATGGAAATGCCAATGTTTGGAAATATTTTACAGATCTATTTGATTATCTTCCGCTTACAGCTCTAGTGGATGGACAGGTATGTTCATGGTGTGTTTAAGGGGGAAGGTAGAAGGCTTTCTTCCAGGAAATATGACCAGGAAATCTGACCATGTTTCTTTGAAATGCATTTTTTTCATTCTCTTATTTTCATCTCCTTAAGCCTTAAGTTTTGCCTCCTTTCCCTAACGTTTCCAGAACAGGAAATTGAACAAAGGTAATCTGCACATTGGGACCGGCCAATGTACACGTTTTCAGATAAGCGTGTTACTCTTTTGGCCAAAGGACATGCCAATATTTTTTATTATAAGTAAATGTTTAAGAACCTGATGTGTATAATAGTGAAGCTGAGATTATTTCGTGTGGGGACCACACCACACAGTGTTTCGGGGCTACTCCCAACACCGGGCTGAGGGGTGAATCCCCGTGGTTCTCAGAGGACCATTCAGTGAATGGATCAAACCCAGGCTCCCGCATGCAAAGGGTTTTCTGTTTGTATGGTTTGGTTTGGGACCATACCGGACATGCTCAGGGCTTACTCCTGGCTCTGCACTCAGGAGTTTATTCTTGGCGATACTCTGGGAACCATATGGAATGCTGGGGATCAGCCCCGATATCGTCTACCTGCAGGGCAAGCACCCTAACTACTGTACTGTCTCTCCAACCCCATTAAAATTACAGTCTCTGCTGGTTACCTTTAATAACTTTTCTATTTTTATGCTAATTGCAAGCAGTACTAGTAGGTATTACACCTTCTTCATTTTCATAATGCAAAAGCTTTTTCTCACCTATAAAGCAAGCAATACAAGGACTGAAGAGATAGTACAGTGAGTAAGACCCTTCCTTTGCATGTGCCTGACCCGACATCCCATATGGTCCCCTAAACCTGTCAGAAAGGATTCCTGAGTGCCAAGTCAGGAGTAAGCCCTGAGCATTGCTGGGTATCCCCCCCCCACCCCAACCTTCTCAAAAAATGTAGTACGACTCAAACATTCAAAAGAATAAGCATAAATTTCCTATTTTGCTTTGAATTTTAAAATAAAACACGGTTTTACTCTACAGTCCTTTTTTGTTTGTTTGGGGGCCACACCTGGCAGTGCTCAGGGTTACTCCTGGCCCTGCACTCAGGAATCCCTCCTGTCGGACTCGGGGATTGAACCAGGCCAGCCATGTGCACGGCAAGCCCCTTACCTACTGTCCTGTCGCTCCTGCTCCTTTACAGTTCTTAAATTATATAACCCAGCATTTTCAGAGGTAAAATAGAAAATATTTAACCAGCTGGTGGAAAAAAATCAGTTATGACCGTCTCCCCTCCCCAGGGTGGATGCCAGGATTAACACTGACCGAAGTGCTCTACGTCTGAGCTGCATTCCTAGCCCTGGCGATGATGATCTTTTTCTCACCTCCTGTCGGGCAGCACAGGGCCACACACCTAGTGCGTAGGAGACTGTGTGACGCTGGAATCGAACCAGGGTTGGCCGCAGGAGAGCATGCGCCGAAACCCCTGTCCTGCCTTCACCCTGTGGTTACTGAGATACTGATGGTCATGATTTGGAGTCCCTCAGTAACTGATGCAGAAGAATCATGTTTTGCCTAGACATTAAGAAACAAAGTAAACACTGTTGATTGAAAGGGTGTTAGGGGCTAGAGCGATTGTACAGCCCATGAAAGGTTGGCCTTGCACACAGCCTGGTGGATCCCTGGCATCCCACATGGCCCCCCAGCCCCGCTGCCAGTGATTCCTGAGCAGTGCCAGGTGTGGCCCACAAACAACAAATGTTTAATACAGTTACATAAAGGGTGTTAAGACTTAATTCAGGGGCCAGAGAGATGGTGCAGGTGGTAAGACAAGGCTTCATATGGTCTTCCAAGCACATATATGGCCCGGACCCTTGTCCAAATTTAGAATTTTTTAATTTCACAAGCATTAAAATCATAATGTTCTTGATTAATATCATTTATTGACAAAATTATTCTAGGACAACTCGTTAGTATAGATGACGAAGCTAGTTTTCGAGTGGGTGTGTGAGCAGAGCTTTTATTCATTGAACGGATTCCAATGATATTGCGTTATTTCTCCTGCGGCCCCAACTTCTTACCCTCACTGATGAGCTTTGATGGGACATGTGTGTTTGTAGTGTAGTGCACTGTGTCAGGGATTGAACCAGACCTTTCACGTGCCAGGAAATAGAGGGGGGAGGCCTTGGCCGTTTGCAGGGGATTTTCCTTGCACACAGCCAACCCAGTTTGATCCCTGGCACCACCTGTGATTCCCTCGGCGTGACCAGGAGTGGCCCCTGAGCACTGACAGGTGTAACCCAAAACAGAAAAGAAACTACAGATGGACCTTTCACCCCGCTCTCCTCCCTTCGTGCTGTCCCCCTTCCTGTTACTCATTCCTATCTTGTTAAGTAAGCATTTTCAGGTTTTAAGTAGTAAGGACAAATTTCAGACTAGAAATTAGGTAGAAAAGGCGAAAAACCTAATTGCTTTGGAAATTGTGCAGTCTTTTCCTAACACTCAAAGTAGAAGGTAAGGATGCAAATCTAACAGAATGGCAGTGAGGGTATGGTGTAGGCAAAAACCTCTACCTTCCAGATGCATGCTCATCCTGCGTTTGTTCTGTAGCAGACTATAAAGGAAATAATGGGATAAAGGGGATGTAAGTAATAAGTAAAAATGAAACAATAAACTTAAAGAATAAGATGAAAACAGACATTGACACTGAAAAACTGTTGCTCGGTATGGCAAAAATCACCTTAAAAAATCTGCTGATAGGGACCGGAGTGATAGCCCTGTGAGTTGGGCATTTGCCTTGCATGTGGCCTTCTGGCGTTCGATCCCAGGATCCTGTTTGGTCCCATGAGCGCCACCAGGCTTGATTCCTGAGTGCAGAGCAAGGAGTAACCCTTAAATATCTCCAGGTGTGACCCAAAAAGCCAGAGAAAAGAAAAATTTACTGATAAATGTAATTGGCCAAGCTAATCTAGAAAACAAAGGTGGGTCACACTTAAATTGGAAACGTAACTGTATACAATATACTCAAAAGCATATTATCAAGGTGTGTGTCTATGTAGCAAACTAGGTAGTTTCAGTAGACAGATGTCCCCAGACTTTCAGGAAGCATAATTTCTGTGCTCTAGAAAAATCTAGAGCACTTAGAAGAAATCACTGTGCTTCAGAATTTACACTGCTGGCTCCACTTCAGTACCTACCCGGACATGACAGATACAGAAAAATACTACCAGGCCAAAAACATTTGAAAAACTCTCTGTTATTCATTATTTAAAACGGTTAAGTAGGGACTGGAGCGATAGCAAAGCGGGTAGGGCGTTTGCCTTGCATGCAACCAACATGGCGGACACAGGTTCGATTCCCAGCATCCCTTATGGTCCCCCGAGCACCGTCAGGAGTGATTCCTGGGTGCATGAGCCAGGAGTAACCCAGACCATCGCCAGGTGTGACCCAAAAAACACACACACAAAAAAAAAAATAGAGATAAAACAGTTAAGTAGAGGCAGGTAAAAACTGAGTACATGCCTTGCATGCTAAAAGCTCAAATTCCACCTCAGGCACCACCAGGAGTGGCCCATAGTGGCCCTCTGAGGGTAGCGAACGTAGAGTAACTTTCATGGGAGAAGAAGCCAGGGAAGGGGGTACAAACTCTGCGTAATCAAACAATCAGAGGAGCCGGGGTGCTACAAAACTGTGGAGCACTTGGCCTTGTGTTGTGTGGCCCTGCCTTGGCCCCAGGCCTTCCACACAGAAAAGGAAAGCTGCAAAGCCACTGGAACCAGGAACAACGTAGTGGTGTGTTTGTTGTAGGAAAAAGTACGTAATTCAAAAGTTAGATGAAAACTGAAGGAAAAAGGGAAGAAATAAATGTTGATTCTCTGATTTTTTTCATGTTATAGTTGATAAATTTTCTGCATCTCATTAAACTTTTATTTTTGAGAATCAAAGCTCTTGATGTAACCATTCTTTACTTCCCCGTTATCTTTCAACAGTTAATCAAACATGCACATTTTAATTTTGTAAACAGATATTCTGCCTCCATGGTGGCCTCTCTCCATCCATTGATACACTGGATCATATCAGAGCCCTGGATCGATTACAGGAAGTTCCACATGAGGTAATCTTAGGGTTCAAGATGAAAGAAACTGGCGGAGAGTCTTTGGCTCTTTGAAGGGGGTGGAAGTGGAATAACTTTGTACACCAGGAGGGCTGGAGAAGTAGCACAGCGGGTAGGGCATTTGCCTTGCACACGACCAACCCGGGTTCAATTCCCAGCATCCCATTTGGTCCCCCAAACACCGTCAGGAGTAACCCCTGTTCATCACCAGGTATGACCCAGAAAGCAAAAAAGAAAAAACCTTTGTACACCAAAATTACAAGTAACAGTGTCATCACTTGATCACTTGACATCCCGTTACTCATCGATTTGCTCGAGCAGGCGCCTGTAACGTCTCCGTTCGTCCCTATCGTGTGCTAGTGTAGCCCAGTGGCGTCTGCTCGCTGCAGGAACACGAAGAGCCTCAAACCGATCATTCAGGGTCTTGACGAAGAAGTCTTAAGAAGGAGGAGAACAATGTGATATTTCTCTGATTTTAAGAAAATGCTGCAAGGAAGGCAAGACAATCGATTAAGAAAGAAAATGGAGAGGAAGTTCTCTTGGTGTTGCTTGAGGGCACTTACCGTCTGTTTAGGAATTTCCCTTGCTAAGCTTGGCTGTTGGGAGCTTTTCTCCTCTGAGCCATGTTGTTTACTGGCTGTTTTTCTCCTTTCCCCAAATCCTGCTTATACCTGTTGGAGCATAGCTCTGATGCTTCTAGAGAAGATACAGTTTCTCTTCTTGTACGATGAGCGGCTATTAGCTGCTCTGGCTTGTGAGTGAATCTGAATTAGCTAAATGGCTGCTAATAATTGATAACATTTTCTGACATGTATTAAATTTTCTTGGCCAGGGCCCAATGTGTGACCTACTATGGTCAGATCCAGATGACCGTGGAGGGTGGGGTATTTCACCCCGTGGTGCTGGTTACACGTTTGGACAAGACATTTCTGAAACATTTAACCATGCCAATGGTCTCACACTGGTTTCTCGGGCTCACCAACTTGTAATGGAGGTATGTCCTTTTCCTGTAGGGTTTGATCTTCCCTTTCTCTTTGTTTGTTTGTTTGTTTGTTTGTTTGTTTAAATAGGGCATTTTCAGGCAAGAAAAGATAATAAAGTAGAGGGTGCTTGCCTTGCTCAATCCCCAGCACCCCATGTGGTTCCCTGAGCACCACTGATGTGAACCAAAACTTAAAATAGGGCAGTTTTCAGTACCCAGAGCTCCTCCCAGCATAACTCAGCCTGGTGTAGCTCAGTGGCCCAGGATAGACTGCAGGGGCCAACAGGCACCAGGCAGCCCCAGGGCCACGCGTGGTATCAGACACTGGTTAGCGGGGGGGCGGGGGGGGGGGGGGGCTTTAAGTGCTGTGGGTCAGACTCAGGCTCCAACATTCTCAGCATGTGCTCTGCCCTCGGAACTGTTTCCCTAATCCTGCATGATCTTTATTTCAAATTAATTTGTCTGTAATAATGTTTCATAACTTAGAGTATCAGAAGCCATACTCCCCATTACCTCAGTGAAAAATATTTTGGCTAGTTTTGCAGATAAGCAAGTGCTAATTAACCAAAGCAAAATTAAAACTTTTGAAATTGAGACTTAGAAGATAGTCACAGAAAAGATCCCTTGTATCCTACATTCATAACCTCATATATAAATATTTTGTTTTTGGCTCTTGGAGTCTCCAATTGATATTTGGGGGAATGCAGGGACCACACCCTACAATTCTCAGCCAGATGGGCTGTCAGTTAATCATTCCAGGGCTGCAGCTGGTGATGCCCAGGGGGCCGTATGGTACTGGGGATAGAGGCAAGGTATGTGCCTTGACCCTTGTTCTGTCTCCCTGGTCTCAGCATAACTATCTTATCATTCTGCTGCTCCCTTCCTGTCCCCTTTTCCTGCAGAGTACTTTGTTTTGAATGTCAGTTGCAAACCTAATATTTCTTTACCCCCAAATTTCCATGCATTGTTTTTGGTGTGGTTGTGGAGGTGGGCAGGAACTGACAGTGTTCAGGGATCACCCAGTGATGCTCGGAGGACCGTGGGATGCCGGGAACTAAACCCCGAGGATCCCATGTACAGAACATGATCTGCAGTTCTTTTTTATTTATCTATTTTTTTTTTAATGATCTCAGTTCTTGCAGCTGTCTCCCCAGCCCAAATCTACAACAATATGATGCTGTTACCTAACGTTGATTATTTCACAAAACTTAATGGTGACTGTGCAGATATATATTATATCATGCTGCTTTCAGGTCTCCTTTGTTGTAGAATGAAATCCTCAGATTATGTTTCTTTTGTTTTGCACAATCTCAAAGCTTTCTAGAGTACCAGCAATTTCATTTTATAAGAACATCTTTTTATAACGCTTGCCTGAAATTTTCTTTTGTTCATAAATTTAGGATCTCCATGGGGCCAGCATATCCCAGAATGACATTACATCCTCAGACAGTCTTACCAGGGCTGTGAACTCTATCCCACTGTTCACGACCAAATTTCTCTGCCGTGATGTGACGTCACAAATTTTTATATACAGCTAATGTAAATGACATAATTCTTCTGAAGTTACAGATAGTAGCTTCAAGATATTAAAGGAAGTTTCCACACACCCATTAGAGAGAGGAGGGAGGAGGGTTTTGTTATAGGAGAAGGTCAAGGGCTGGAGTGACGGCACAGCTCCTGACCTAGGTTCCGTCCCAGGCGCCACATATGGTTCCCAAGCCCTGCCTGGAGTGACCCCTGAGCGTTGGGCACTGCAGTGTATGGCCCACAAAACAAAACCATAAACAAACTATTCTTTCAAGTAAATTCGATCAATAATTTTAAGAAATGTAATAAAAAATATTCAGTTGTGGACCAGAGCGATAGGACAGCAGGTAGAGCGCTTGCCTTCTTGCAGTGGCCAACACAGATTCCATCCTTGGCATCCTGCATGGTCTCCAGAGCACCACCAGGAGTGGTTTCTGAGTGCAGAGCCAGGAGTAACCTCTTGAGCATCACCAGGTGAGACTCAAAACCAAAAACAACAGCAAAACAGTTGTCTAAAAGACTGGGACTAACTGAAAAATAATAATAGACCTATTATTTTGTGATGGTTCTAAAGTATAGCATCACAGATTAAAAGTAGGGTTGGAACATGGTATACTATTGCTAGATAATGATCAAAGTAGAGCTAATAAAATGAATTAGAATAGGCTCTAACGAAAAATAATTTACAATTGGAAATATTAAAAGGAGGTCATTGCTAAGAAAACATACTGGTCCAATTCTCTAGGGAGAATTCTAAATTTGTACTTAATATTTGTGTATGAAGAAAGCTTGAGATCTTTGCTGTCGTGTTGGGAGGAATTTCCCCTTCCCTCTGTCAGGTCTCCACCGCAGTATCAGGAGAGGCGGAACCTGTAGCCCAGGTGGCAGGGGGTCGTCCTGTGCAGGGCATCACATCAGAGACGGTGCTTTGTGACGGAGCCAGGGACAGTGTCATGCTGAAGCTTCCTTTCAGAACATGTGCCTGTCGGCCTTGTCGTTCCGGAGTGCGAGATACTGATTGACTTTTCCCTGAATGCTGCAGGGCTACAATTGGTGTCATGACCGGAACGTGGTCACCATCTTCAGCGCCCCCAATTACTGTTACCGCTGTGGGAACCAGGCTGCTATCATGGAACTAGACGATACCTTGAAGTACTCCTTGTAAGTAACAGCGTTGTGGTTGTAGGTGTAGTTGTGTCCATGTGAAGGGGTCTTGGTTGTGGTGGTTACTGGAGCCAGAAGGGAGCCCTAGGCCCCCGTCAGCACATGCACTCGGCGGGCTGGAGGAGCAGATCAGCCTGGATCGTTCAGGCTGTATCGCCGCTGCAACATCGCCAGCCCTCTTCCCAACAAAGTCACTTAACTAGAGAAATTTTGTACTGATTTTAGCGAAGAAACACTAGAGCACCTGAAGCTTAGCAGTACGTACGTCTTACAGGGTCATTTGAGTCATGGGGCTCCCTCCCACACTCCCAGTTTGCTCTACAGCAGCGACTACACTCAGTGGGCCCGTTCAAGAAGGTTCTGTTCTCTGTCCCTGCCCCCCGGCTTAGGCATGTGGTCGCACCCGAGGTGGGGCTGCTACTAGCATATCTGTCTTGGCAGCCTGGATCCCAGTTCTGCTCTGTTGTCTCTTTGCTGGCTTGGTTTTGGGACCACACCCAGCAGTGCTCAGGGCTTACCCTGACTCTTCACATGGAGAGTCAACCTGGGTTACCTTCAAGGCAGGTGCCCTCCCTGCGGTACTCTCACCCTGGCCCCACAGCTCTGTTCTTCGGGGTACAGGCAGCTGGGCTGAGACTCCCTGTCCTGGTCTCCTTGGCTAGCTTGCAGGGTTCTGCTTGTTGTTGCCACAGCAGCCTGCTGATAACCCCGCAGACAGGGGTGACACTGAGTGGGCAGAGGGTGAGGCAGTCCCCGGGCACACTCTAGCCCCCTTCATCCCACAGGCAGGGGTGGCACTGAGTCGGCAGAAGGGTGAGGGCAGTCCCTGGGCACACTTCAACCCATAAACAAGACCAGGGTAGGGACTTCATCTTCTCACTTGGGGGGCTTCCCCAAGCAGTGCTCCCTCCCTGGCTCTGTCCTCAGGAGACACTCCAGGCTGTGCTCTGGGGCAAGTAGTGTCAGGGACTGGACCCAGGCCTCTTGTATGAGCCCGTTGAGGTAACTCTCCAGTCCCTGTTTATATATTTGATTTTTTTTTTGTCTGATTGTTTGGTTTGGGGGCCATGCTCAGCGATGCTCAGGGGTTGCTCCTGGCCGTGCTCTGGGGACCATATGGGATGCTGGGGATGAGCCTGGGCAGCTGTGTGCAAGGCAAACGCCCTCCCCCGCTGTCCTATCTCTCTGGTCCTGTCTGTTTGAAAGTCACCTAGACAGTGGATCTTTGAAACAGCCCGCCCGCCACCCCACCCACTTCCCCCACACCCTCTTTCCCTTCTCTGTTGCTGGTGTCTGGAGTCTGCACACTTTCTTGGTAGAGGTGCTCACCTGCTTGGTTGCGTGTGTGACCCCAGAGGCTGCATCTGCAGCGCCCATTATTACTCTGTGCGATACTGGACAGTGCCAGGGATTGAGTTTGTAGTCTCATGCTTCTGGGCTGGCATTGTGCCTCTGAGCCACACCCGGAAGCTAAGAAACTAAATCTTAAATGTGCTCACGTAATGAGAGAAAAATTCACAATTTACAAATGGATATCGACTTAATAGAGTGTTGTGATCATTCATCGGACTTGCATGTGTTGAATTACAATGTACACCTAAAACAGACTGATGGCTTCTCCGTTTAGGAGCCAGCTCACTAGCCTTACTACAAAAAAAAAAACATGAACTTCTACTTGGCAATATACTATCTGCACTCTGCACAAGTGTAGGTATGCTAGGCATACTCTAACTTACTAAATTCAAAGAAATTCTTAGCTAAGTCTGTCACAGAAAGTCTTGAAGGTAGTAAGAGAGGGGAAGTGAGTCAGACTTACAAAGGAACTCCGTGAGAAAACCCCCTGACTTCTCCTAGGGCGGTCAGCAACGCACCTACTTGAATGTGCTTGAGTGAACCAAAATGTCAAACCACCAGAAGGTTTTTTGTTTGCGTGCCCAGCGATGCTCAGAACATAGCCCTGGTTCTGTGCTCTGGGGTCACTCCTGGCAGGGCTTGGGGAACCACATGTGATGTTAGGAATGGAGCCCGGGTGTGGTTTCTCTCCAGCCAAGTACTAGCAAGAGGGCCGGGGAGATGACTCTGGCTGAGCACATGCTCTGCGTTCAGGAGGCGGGGTCTGATCTAAGCACAAGGAATCACTCCCAGCACCAAGCCAGGAGTAGCCCCTGAGCATCTGTCGGCCACTTCAAAAAGCAGATGCCAGAAAGAAATAAAACATGGCCACTGGCACTAGTAAGACGCGACAGTTGCATCTTCTTAGCAGCTTTAAAAACAAGTTGCTTAAAATAATATGGCTATATTTGTGTGAGTTGAACTTAGAAGAAATGTATATAGAATGTAGTATGTCTGATAGTAACAGCACAGACGAGGTGGGTGGGTGATAATGTTATACTGGAGTTGGGAAATGACACCAGATGGAAAGTTGAATTCAGAGGAAGAATTTAAAGAAAATAAAGTGAGACAGCTACCGTAAAAATAGTCCGTAAATACTCCTCCTTCACTTCTTCCAGAAACATACTGTAAAAATATTGTAAAACATCAGTAGCAATCAAGAATGGAAAGGAGGGGCCAGAGAGATAGTACAGCAGATAGGACGTTTGCTTTGCATGCGGCCAACCCAGGTTCAATCCCTGGCATCCCCTGAGCACTGCCAGGAGTAATTCCTGAGTGCAGAGCCAGGAGTAAGATACGAGCTTTGCTGGCTGTGACCGAAAAAGCAAAAAATAAAAATGCAAAGGGGCTATGTGAATGGAGTACATTTCTGTTATACGCTAGAATTAAGTTAGTATAAATCTAAATTAAAATTTTATCATACATCGTAAGCTGTAAAAGCAAGCACTAATAAGAAAAATTGATAAAAGGAATTTAAAAGGAACACTACGAAGTATCCTTTTAATAAAAACAAAGAACCCAGAAAAATTTTAAACACTTTCAATCATATTGAAATAATAAACATGAGAGGCTTAAGCAATGCATCCAAAGGGCAGAAATGATCAGGTTGGGGATCGAAAGGTGCTGTTTGGGTCTTTTCTGGGGAAGGGGGAAGGTTGGACCATACCGTGCAGTGCCCCGGGACTGCTCCTGGCTCTGTCCGTGGATCACATCTAGCAGTTGTGGAAGTGGCAAGCTCTTTAATCCCTATACTGTTTCTCTGGCTTATATTGTTAATTTGATTTTTATGAGCTAACTTTATTCATCCATGAAAACCATTTAAATTCAAAACCACAAACTGGCTAAAAGTAAAATGGTGGGGAAAAGATGAGCCCATACAGTCAGCAACCACAATGAGTACTGGTTATCCTTTAATTGTTGGCAAGTTGCAAGGGCTGGAGAGACAGTACAGCAGGTAAGGCACTTGCCTTGCACGAACCTGACCAGGGTTTGATCCCTGGCATCCCAGTATGGTCTCCTCAGTGCAAAGCCAGGAGTAAGCCCTGAGCACAGCTGGGTGTGGCACCCCTCCCCCAAAAAAATTTGTTGGCAAATTGGTGTTTTTAAATGACCAGATCTAGGGGTTCACAGATGCAAGACAAGTTCTCTACCCCGCTGGAGATGCTCTGTACCCCCGGCCCTCGATAAGTTTTTAATATTTGTGAAGTCTAGATGTTAAGAAGGTACGCCAAGATTTCAAACATGCATCGTGTGTAACAAAAATGAACAGAATTGAAGAGACAGACACTGAAACAATAGTTGTTGGAGATTTTAATGTGTGTTTTCAGTAACAGAGCCAGACTCTGTTTTCAGTAACAGAGCAACCAAGACTTGGAAACACTGTATCCTTTACCTATGTGGCCTGTACAACCCGTCCTCCAGCCCCAGAGCACTGTCTTCTCAAATGGACAGGGGACATCTCCAGTATGGCCCAGATTCTGGGACTATATGCCAAGTGCCATAAATATTAGAAAATTAAAACCATGCAGAGTATTTTCTAAATTCAGTGGAACGAAAGCAAAAAATCACGGAAGACAAATTAGAAAACTAAGAAATATGTGGAAGTGAATATATTCTTCAGTAACCTGTGGGCCAAAGAAATTGCAAGAAAAAGATAAAATATATATAAATATATATATTTAGTTAATGAAAACAAAACCCTAAAACTTCTGGGATACAGTGAGAGCAGATTCAGACAGGGAAATTTATGATCTTTTATGCGCTGTGCATTTTACAGATTATAAAAGTTTATCATCTGAATTTATAAATCGCCATAATAAAATTATCGACAATAAAAGAGAACAAGGGCTTGGAGGGTGCAGCAGGTGCATGCTTGGTGTGCAGGAGACCCGGCCTCCGTCCCCGGCACCACACAGCGGCATCTTCCCAGGCACAGGACAGTAGCCCTTGAGCACCGCTGGGTAAAGCCTCTGCCAGAAACTCACGGTGACGTGCCAGAGGGACAGGACCGCAGGTCAAGCGCTTCCCTTGCTCACAGCCAACCTAGGTCCTGTCCCGAGCATCCCGGACAGTCTCCCAAGTCTGGCAGAAGGACCCTGACCAGAGAGCCAGGAGTAAGGCCTGAAACATAACTTTGCACTTTAAGGACCCAGAAACAAAAAGCAGGAAAAACTCACTGCAAGGACGTGAAGGGAATCAAGCCTAGAGCAGAAGTGAAATGTTAGGAAGGTGATTCTTTCAAATAAAATGAGATAAGCTCTGTGGATGATTTAAAAATAGAGTGAGGAGAGGCTGGAGCAATAGCACAGCGGGTAGAGCATTTGCCTTACATGCAGCCAACCCAGGTTCGATCCCCAGCATCCCATATGGTCCCCTGAGCACCGCCAGGGGTAATTCCTGAGCGCAGAGCCAGAGCCAGGAGTAACCCCTGTGCATCGCTGGGTGTGACCCAAAAGGAAAAAAAATATAGAGTGAGGAAACATTACCAGATCATTTTATCCCCTTTTACGGGTGTGGCTTGAGAATTGGGACCCTGCCACCAGGAGTGACTCCTGGTGGCAGTTCTGGGGAGCGGGGGGGGGGGGGGTTGAAGCAGGGTCAGCCGCATGCAGGCGAGGCATACCATAAGCCCCTGACTGTGTCTCTGTTCCTGTACTTTTTGGAATAAAAGAAACTGAACTGGCAATGCTAGTACAGCAGGAGGGTGTGTACCTTGCATGCAGCCAACCTGGGTTCAGTCCCCAACATCCCCTGAGCACTGCCAGGAGTAATTTCTGAGTGCAGAGCCAGGAGTAACCCCTGAGTATCACCCGATATGATCCAAAAAGACGAAAGGGTGGGGGGGGGGGGGGGGAACTGGGCTGGGGCGGTGTTAAACTTGGTTGCGACCCCGAGAAGATCTCCAAGCCCCTCCAGGTGTGGCCCAGAACTCAAGGGAGGGAAAGGAAAGAAATTAGGGGTCCTGAGATGGCTTGGTGACTTAGAGCACTGGGTGATGAGCAGGAGCGGGCGATTTAAAGCCCCTTGCTGCTGTCTGCTGAGTGCAGCCGACAGCCCCAAGGCCACAGATCAGCCTGTCTGATCACACGCTGGGGAACTTGGGTGAAATGGGCGTATTCCTAGAAGGTCACTGAAATCTGTGCAGGTGAAAATAGAATACCTTTGGGTGGAGAGAGAGTTCAGCAGGGAAGGTGCTTGCCTTGCACACCAACCCTGGTTCCACCCTTCAGGAGTAAACTCTGAGCACCACTGGGTGTGCCCCCAAAAAGAAGAAAAAGAAAATCTGAATATACCTGTAACAAGTGGAATTGGAGTAATTTTAAAACTGCTCAGGCCCAGTGGTTCCATTGGTGGATTGACCAAATATTCAGAAAGGAATGAATATCCTTAACAGAACACCTTCCAAAAATAAGAGGGGTCACTTTCCAGCTCATTGGGGCCTATATGAATTACCCTGTTATCAAAATAAAAGGCACTGTAAGAAAACAGCCTAGTTTTCTGCATCTGCTACAAAAGTGTGCAGTGAGATACTAAGAACTGAATCTAACAGTATTTCAATAGGATTGTACACCATTGCCATTCCTGGAATACAGAACCAGTTGAGAACATGAATGTGTAATAAACCCTGTAAAACCAGAATAGGCCAGCTGGGGAGTCTTTCAGCTGGTGCAGGGCAGAGCTCCAGAGAGCCTCCAGTGCCCAGCATCAAACCCAACTCCCTCAGGCAAAGTATGTGCGCCAGACTGCTGACAGCCCCCAGCCCAGCTGTGTATGTATGTCCGTCGCAGTGAGAAACCTCACCACTTTCCCCTAAAATCTAGAACAAAGCAAGCACATGGTTCTCCACAGAGACCTTTGTTGATGTTGGATTTGGGCCAGGCCGGCACGGTGCTTCTACTGCTCCCAGCTCAGCCTTGGGTGCATGGGGTGCTGGGATCGACAGCACAGGCATCAGCCCGCTGAGCTCACACACTCAGGACTCCCATGGAACTGATATTGTCACGGACATTTCATGCTAGGGCACAGGACGGGACATTGGCCTGTTGGGACATTCATCGTAGTTCTGTGAAATTTTTCCGTGTATAAGAGCATCTACAATGACTCGACCAGGGTTGCTCTGATGGTGGGGAACCAGGACATTACACGGTCTTTCTTTACAACCGTGTCAGACCTCTGACTCTTTGCTTTTTGCTCATTCCTAGCCTTCAGTTTGACCCAGCACCTCGCCGCGGAGAGCCTCACGTCACCAGGCGTACCCCCGACTACTTCCTGTAAATTCCTCTTGGGAAAATCTGCCTCTGTATGTGGAAGTGTACCTGGCTTTTTGAAATACATGTATTTAAAGGGAAAAGAGGAAAGCGACGGTAATGAGTTTCTCTAACAAGTTGGGGTCTGTGTCGGCATCAGACCACATCATGGACCAAAATGTGCCATACTAACGATGAGCGCCTAGCACATCCTGAGACTGAAGTTAGTCCCCCGTGTTCCAGATCCGTCTGTTTTAACAGTTTGCCTGCTGTATTTGTAGTGACCATTTTCCTCTGGACTGTTCCAGCAAAAAGGTAACTAACTCTTACTTCATCTCCTCTCGCACTCACTTGGAAATTTTAGTTGGTAGAGTTTAATTGGCATGGATTGAGAGAGTTGGAATTTTATTTTTAAGGAAAAGTCACGAGCTAACTTCCATTTAATCCATTTCCCTTTATTTTATTGAAATGTATAATTAACTGCAGAAAATATTCTTCTTGGGAGTATATTGTCATAACACTTAAAGAGATTTTCCTTCATTCTAAACTAAATTACTGTTTAATTTTGATCTGCCTTATTATTTCTGTATATTTGTCATGACAGTGCTTGTATTCTATTTGGTGTACTGAGCAAATAAACCTTCCATTTTAAACAAAAACGTCGACTCACTCCGTAGTGCGTTTTAAATGAAAGTTTGAATATTTTGAAACAATGAGAAAATCTGCTGTCCCCTAATAATTTGTATTGAGGTGATTTTCATGTAGTGTTCTTTGTATAGGCTTTATTTTCAGGAGAGAAAAAAACGGTTTCTTCTTGTTGTTCTTTGTTTTTCTTGAGCCACACCTGGGGATGCTCCGGCATCACTCCTGGTGCTGTAAGGGGGACCGTAGGGGTGCTGGGGATCGAACCCAGGTCGGCCACGTGCATGGCCAGCGCCCTGTCCTGTCCTCTCACTCAGGCCCAAGGAAAACACAATTTCTAAATATTTCATTTCATCGGTATCTGGTGCTTCCATTCTTTTGGGGGGACCATGCCCAGTGTGCTTGGGGCCACTCCCGCCAGTGCCCAGGGACCCTGCCGCCCTGGTGCTGGACCCCAGTGCTCCACATGCATCCCCTGCCCCGGTCTTCTCAAACTGCTTCCCAGGGCCTGAAGGAAAGAATAGAGGGGGAGGCACTCGCTTCACCTGGGGCTGACCTGGATTTGATCCCCGGCACCACGTAAGGTCACCTGAGCACAGCCAGGAGTCAGCCCTGAGCCGGTGGTGTACCCCCAAAGTCTGAAAGAACCAGGTTCCCAAGTTTATAGCACCTCCTTTTCGGGGATGGGGGGGGGTTATTTGGCCTGTGACAGTAAGAGTGTGGATGCTTTGCGGCTGGGGCGGGCTGCCGGGGCTCTGGGCTGGGCGGGGCATTCCTCTGTCCTCCCGCTCCTCCCAGCTTTCTCTGTGCTGTTCCCTGTGCTGCTCGGTGAACGTTTCTTCCGCCTTCCCCGCCCTAGCAAGAGTGCTGGACGTCCGCCTGGCTGGCCTCTGGTGCAGTTTTGACACAGCAGTAAACCAGCTGTGTCCTCGGAGAAGTAGAAGGACTCTGCTTTTCCAGAGAGTAGATGTGCTGCGGCAGCACCACTTGGTCTGTAGCCTCCTGGGAGTTTAGACTTGAATTCTGAAAGCTGGGGAGGGAGAGGGCTCCATGGACGGGGGTGCAGGATGTGCATGCAGAAGGTCAGGGTTTCATCACCAGCACAGCATGGTCCCTGCGGCAGCAAGCTGGGTTAGCTTCAGAGCACCCCGGGGTGTGGCTCAAAAAGCAAAATAACGGCAAAAAAATAAATAATCTCAAAAGACTGGCAGGCCAGAGCAATGGTACAGTAGGTAGGGCATTTGCCTTGCATGTGGCTGGCCCGGGTTTGGTACCTGGCATCTCATATGGTCCCCAAAGCACCACCAGAAGTGATCCTGAGCACAGAGCCAGGAGTAAGCTCTCAGAACCAGGAGTGATCAAAAACAAACCCCCAGAAAAGGTTCTGGAGAGAAACTACAGGGGTCAAGGTGCTTGCCTTGCATGCAGCTGACTAAAAAAATTTCTAATAATTCAGCAGGCGCATTCTTCCATGCTTGTCTTACAGCTGCCTTCCCTACTGGGCTCTGGCCAGAGGAGAGGATGTGTCCAGTCCTGTCCTGCCGGTCCAGCCCCTGCAGCCTGAGTACAGGGAAGCTCGGGGAAGAAATCACCCACCATTCTTCTTTGGTAGGGTGGAGCTGTGTTCTCTTTGAGTCGCAAGCTGCAGTAAGATTTGAGCGCGTTATTTTTAGGATCTCACTCAGCTAGAAGGATCGTTAAAGGAGCCCTCCCACCCCCTACTCAAGGGGAATGCCACGTTTCTTTCTAAATGTCCCTTAGTGACAGCTTTCACTTGCCCTTTCAAAATACTCCATAGCATAACAGTCATACTCAGAGAATACCCTAAAAGGATGCGAGGTTGGCCTGACTTGCAGCCCAATGGTCAGGGAACACCAGGGGAGGTGCAGAACAGCGCTGGGGGTAAAATGCGGGACTTGACCTGCAGCTTGTGTACCCTGCTGTTTGAACTATCTCCAAAATTCTATGAATTGTCTGTTTTTGTTTTGGGTGCCACAACCAGAAGTGCTTGGGGGATACTCCTGACACAGTGCTCAGGGGTACACGCAGTGCCATGAATCAAACGTGCGCTTCCCACATGCAGAACAGCTGAGTGTGCACTCAGCCTTTGGAGCTCTGTGGCCCCAGAGCTTTCTCTTCACTTGCAAATTTACAAGTCTACCTTTGTTTTATCTTATGCCTGTTTTTTTATCTTAAATGTTATCATGGAAACATCTACAAAAATGAGAATATAAGGTGCTTATTACTTAGCTTTAATTGTATTTATATCGCCACTTAATTCCTGTCATTGTATTTTTAGGGATAAGCATTCACTCTTAGTGGCCAGAGTGACAGCACAGCAGGTAGGGTTACATGCAGCCACCCACGTTCAATCCCTGGCATCCCATGTGATCTCCGAGAGTGACTCTTGAGTGCAGAGCCAGGAAATAACCCCTGAGCATTGCTGGGTGTGACTCAAGCCTAAATAAATAAATAATGATTCAGTCTTGCCTAAACACAGTATCATGGTCAGAGTTGAGGGGAAAAAATGATCTCTTATCATGTTTCTAATTTTTCCATCTCTTGCAAGGGACAACACAAAGGACTAGCATTCTTTTTTCTTTTGGGGTGGAGGGGCACACTCACTGATGCTCAGGGCTTACTCCTGGCTTTGTGCTCAGAGATCACTCCTGGCGGGGCTGGGGAGACCATATGGGATGCCAGGAATCAAGCATGATTCGTTCACATACAAGGCAAGCACCTTAGAAGCTGTGCTATTACTCTGGCCCCAAGAATAATATTCTTAGCCAAAACTGAAGAATTAAGATACCTTTAGTTCCTTTTGCTAAATTCAGAGGAAGAATGATGCCTTTGTAAACAAGGAAACAATTTAGTCCTTTAGTAATACAAATGATGTTTTTTGGGCCACACCTACTGGCCCCAAGAGTTTTTTCACTGTGTAAAAGATATCTAGGATATGCCAAAGAGATACACCCAGGCCCCAAGCCAGGCTGTCTCATCTGGAGATGGAGGGGGACTGGTGAGTTCCGCTTCCCACCTACCAGCCGAAACCTCCAGAACTCAATCACTGCCCTGCTCACGGCAGCTCTCCACAGGCTCAGACAAGCCTCACCCCTGAGTGAATCTGCTGTCTAACCGTATTATAAATCTTAGAATTCCTGGAGTAGGCAGCCGCATTCACCGCCATGTGATGCCCCATACTTTATACACCAAGAGTAGCATGCCACGTTTGATGGGGTGTAAAGTCTAAGGCAACAAATGTTAGGGGGAAGTATATATATCTACAGATAAAGATATAAGCACACAAGGCTCAACCTTTAACAACATGCTAGTAATCTCTGATACAAGGGCTCAGGGGCTCCTGGGTGAAACACAACAATCTTCACACACTTTCCTCTAAGGAAACTTTCGATCATTTTTAGCATATTATTCATAACAAGCAATACAAAATAAATTACCTCGGTTTGGCTTTCAGGGCAGAGTTTGGGGTTCGGGATGGAAACATCCAAAATACGGTGGCGAGAAGGTGTCATGGTGGTGGGATTGGTGTTCAAATATTAAATGCAACCAAATATTGTGAACAACTTTATAAAAATGCAACAAAATTTTTTTACGAAGAAGTATATATGGCCACACCACTAAGGAAGTGTGTGTGTGAGAGAGAAAAAGAGGGAGAGAGAAAAAGAAAAAGAGAGGAAGAGAGAGGGGGAGAACGAGAGATAGACGTTTATTATTCCCCAAAGTTTAAAAACTATTTGTTAAACAATTGCTAATGTGGCCGTGGGCAGCTGGGGACACAGAGCAGCCCTGGGGTGGGGGACTTGGGCATTCCGTGTTCCCCAGCTCTGTGCCAGCTCCCAGTCTCTGAAAGTGGGAGGTTCTTGGGGCCACACTGGCAATGCTCGGGGACTCCCAGCTCCATGCAGGGTGAGGGCTTTGCTTCTGAGGTGTTGGAGGGACCGTGTGCCAGGAATCAAACTCAAGGCTTTGCCATGCCAACATGCCGTCTCGCCCTCTCAGAGTAGGAAGACATGGAGACGTCAGTTGGTTGGTTGGTTTTGATTTCCTATTTATGTTCGAGTCTATTTCAGATAGTAATAGAAGCTTGCTGAATCTCTGAACGAAATCCTGATGAACAAAGATCAGGAGTTCAGAAATCTGCCAGGAAAAAAACGGCCATGCGTAATGATGCCCTTGTCCTGGGGAAAATGTCCTAGACGTTTCTTGTCCTAGTTATTTGTCACCACAAAAGAAATTTCCCTAAAATAAAAGTTTATTTTAACATCATCCGTCACGGTCCAGGAGAGATTTACTGGGTTTGGAGAAGGTGGCAAAGGAGTTTTTCTGACCCAGATCTCTCATGACAGTATAGCCAAGGTGGTTGGCCTGCAGAATAAGGTCGGCCTCCCTTCTTGGAGACCCTAAAGAGCAAAATTGTTCCATGTTCAGTGGGTCATGACAAACAAGAGGTGGCAGTCACATGACTTTCTCTCAGTCGTGATCCCTGAGACCTTCTGGAAAACTCATGTTGGAACCAAATCATTCAATTAGTCAAATTAAGACCTAATCTAATCTCCTCAACTCCTTGCACACTTAAAAAGCACGGAAAGAAAGAGCAATCTTGTTTATTTTTTAAAATGGTGGGTCACACCCAGCTTTGCCCAGGGCTTCCTCCTGGCTCAGAGCTCAGGGCCCAGGGGAGCATGGGGTGCTGGCGACTAAAGCCCACGGGTACATGCAAGGCCAGAGCCCTACCCGCCGTCCTACGGCCCCCACAACCATCCTTTCCTGATCCCGTATGCCCTCGTCCTCTCCCTTGGAGAGCTGTAGGAAAGCGTTCTCTTCCTTGAGCTAAAACGGTCTGCCACGAGTCTCTGGTAAACCCTTTATTGGCCCGTGAGTTCACAGCATGGTTCATCTGCTGGAGAACCAGTCACTCCTCACAGCTGCTCTGCTCCTTCTTCTCCACGTTGAGGACAGTGTCCACGGTTATTCCCACGTCCTGCAGCGACCAGCCCTCGTCCACTCGCAAGGCCCTTCGAGGAAAGGAGGTGGCAAGGCTGTAGAGGGATGTGGGGTAGCCAACCTTCATCATCCAGTCCAGCAGGACCTGCAGGTCAAATGCTGAGTTATCAGAGACTTCGCACTGTGCCCGCCCCGCCCCCACCCCAGCTGGACAGGCCCCCCACTGTGGATTCACACCCCCCAGGGGCGCTGAAACTGAACTTCCAGGCGTGGCTGAGGGGCTTCCTAGGGTTTTCTTTTTTTTTGGTTGTGTGTTTTGGGGTGGTGCCAGGAATCGAACCCAGGCAGGACATGTGTACTGCCTCTGAGCGACAGCCCCGCTCCGAGGGATTGTTCTAGAGTTTAACCTTGCGTATCTTACATTCTCGGAGAAGGCCCTCACAAACAGAAGTGTTTATTTAATCATTAGCAAGCCCCAGACATGGGGAATGGGCCAGCTATTCAGTAAGAAGTTGAGGAGGGAGAAATGATCCGGATCGAAATCTAATCCAACAGTTCACCTCACTTCACTGAGGCGAGGCTGGGGCTAAACCACTGCCAGATGCAACCAGGACCTTCCGCTCAGTAGGGACATTCTCACCTGTGAGCTGCAGGACTTCAGAAACCTCCTCCTCAGGGCGCGTCCGCCGGGGCATCGCAGAGCAACGGTGACAGCCTGCGGGGACGCGTGAGTGAGTGCTCCAGGCCACCGCCCTGCTGCTTCTAGAATCCTGCTCCTCTGAGACTGTCAGAACGACAGTGACGCAGGCACTATGCCCGCTCCGAACAAGGGGAGGGCAAGGCAGTGGCGCGAGCGGGGATACACTTGGCACATGGGAGGCCCCGTCTGACCCCTAACACTGTAGACTGAGAGCTGTGGGTGGTAGATCATAGACTCAGAACTGGAGACGGGCATCAAGGTCCACATTAAAATGTTTGAAATACATTACAGGGGCTGGAGTGATAGCACAGCCAATAGGGTGTTTAACTTGCTCAGGGCCAACCGGGTTCGATTCCCAGCATCCCATATGGTCCCCCAAGCAGTGCTAGGAGCAATTCCTGAGTGCAGAGCCAGGAGTAACCCCTGTGCATCGCTGGGTGTGACCCAAAAAGGAAAAAAATAATTTTAAAAATATATGTATTACAAACATAGAAATAATTCACCCCCCCCTTTTTTTTTAATTTTTTTTTTGTTTTGAGTGACACTGGACCTCAGGGCTCACCCCCCCATGATACTTAGGAATCATCTGGTGCCAGGGATCAAATCCGGGGTTCCTGAATACATAGCATACACTCAGCCCTTTAAGCTATCTCTCCGGAATGAAAATAGTTCTTTAAAGGGCCAAAAAATATCCCTGAGCATTAGCTGAGAATATCCCTCCAGTGCTACCAGGTGTGGCCCAAAAACAAAAAAGAAAATGAAATAATATCTTTAAAACCGAAAAACATTGGGGCTGGAACAATAACACAGCGGGTAGGGCGTTTGCCTTGCACACGGCCGACCCGGGTTCAATTCCCAGCATCCCATATGGTCCCCTGAGCACCGCCAGGGGTAATTCCTGAGTGCAGAGCCAGGAGTAAACTCTGTGCATCGCCGGGAGTAACACCCCCCCCCCAAAAAAAAAGGAAAAAAAAAAAACCTGGAAAACATCTTCCTAAGGAGTGAGAGGCTCGGTGCTGCCCAGACTAACTGGCCTCTAAAGGAAGGGATCTCCTGACCCAGAACCCTGTGCCACGGAGACAGCTGGCAAGGCGGTGATGGGCCAAGGAAACCCCAGTGAACCCGTCGCTCTACTGCTGCCTGCCGGGCACTGCAGCACAGGATGGCGCAGGGTCCAGCTCCTCAGGCCTCTCCTGGGAGCAGGGCTGCCGACTCAGTCTGCTGCAGGCCAGAGTTTCTCATAACGTTTGCGTTCGTAAAACAGAAAGCTACGGGGAGCGTGCAGACTGCTGGTGCCTAAAGGAACGGTAAGAAGGAAAGGTCTCCAAGAACTGACGCTGGAGCTGTCTGCCAGGGGTCAAACACCCATCCTTGTCGCTGGCAGATCTAACGATGGGAGTTCAGTGGACATCACCGACAAAGGCAACAATAGTTTCTGGGTTTCGGTTTGCAGGGAGTTTAGGGCACACCAGGTAGAGGCACAGGGACTGCTTCTGGCTCAGAGCTGAGAGACCACATACTGCCAGGAGTGGGTCCCAAGCCCCCAGGGGAAGCTCACCTGTCCCCCCAAACCCAGGTACGATAGAGGAGAAAAGGAGGCAGAAAAATGTGCGGGGACAGGGTAACTGCCGGAAACAGGTCAGGAGATATAGGGTGGGAGAACACTGAGGCCAAGGAGAACAGGATTGTTCAAAGATGGAATGAGGCCGGGGCCAGTACAGCAAGGAAGGCGCCTGCCCTGCACACAGCTGACCCAGCACCACCTACAGTCCCCCACGCACCACCAGGAGTGACCCTGAGTGCAGAGCTTACAGGTGTGGCCCAGACAGAACCCAAGGCGGAAGGGGACTAAGGCGGTCAAGTACTTGCTCCGCACGTGTATCTGCGGGGTGTGAACCCTGGCACCACAGAAAAGATGAAGTGGGATACGCAAAGTTATCCCAGAAAACAGAACTAACACCTTGTGGCTAGTGAGTGGAAAACCAGGTTTTTAGGGGACCAGGGGGATGCACCAAGCCTGTAGCACAGGCACCGGCACCACGAGACACGGCCGAGAAGAACTTCTGGTGCATCTCAGAAACGTGAGCCAGAGCACTACACACAGATCGTGCCCCTCCCAGTGGTTCCGAGACAACACGTCTACGATTACTAGCTTTTCCCGAACAGTGTGAAATAAAGTACACCGTAAGAGCATCAGGCAGTACCAACTATCACTTGGTTATTGCTTGTCTTTGGGGGCCACCCAATAGTTCTGAGAACTACTGGCCGCTTGGTGTTTGGGGTGCCCTGAGGTGCCAGGGTGCCGGCCCACTCACGCTCCAGCCCTCTGAGTGATCTCCCTCACCACGTTGCAGATACTCCTGACGAAACTTCATTCACAGGATGAAACATGAAAGTCCATGTGTTTATGAAATTTGTACCAAAAAATTAAAATATGTTTAAGTTGGGGGCCAGAGAGATAGTATTGTAGGTCAGACACTTGGCTTGCGGACAACTGACCCAGATCCAATCAATCCCCGGCACCACATACGGTCCCCTGAGCACCAACAGGTGTGATTCCTGAGCATGGAAGCAGGAATAAGCCCCGAGCACCACTGAATGAGGAGAGGAGATGAGGCGGGAGTGGAGGATGAAATGGGTAGCTTCTAAATAGCTAAGCAGGGGCCAGAGTGATAGGACAGCAGGGAGGGTCTTCGCCTTGCATGCAGCCGACTCACACTGGATCCCTGGCATCCCATATGGTCCCCTGAGCACTGGCAGGCGTGATTCCTGAGTGCAGAGCCAGGAGTAACCCCTGATAATTGCCAGGTGTGACCCAAAGAAAAAAACAGAAAAAAATAAAATTAAGGGCTGGAGAGATAGCACAGCGGGTAGGGCGTTTGCCTTGCATGCGGCTGACCCGGGTTCGATTCCCAGCATCCCATATAGTCCCCTGAGCACCGCCGGGAGTAACTCCTGAGTGCAGAGCCAGAAGTAACCCCTGTGCATCGCCAGGTGTGACCCAAAAAAAAGCAAAAAAAAAAAAAAACCCCACTGTCTTTCAACATATAATCACAAAAAGGTATTATTTTAAAGTATTCACTGACAACCCAATGTCCAGAATCTGATGCGTATGGGTTCAGACCAGGCAACGGCACAGGAATCCCGGCCCGGGCTGCCTACTCGAATGCACAGAAGGCCGAGCTGGTGGCTGCTCCAAGAGCATAAATGGTCACTACGGAACCCACCCCCCCACCCTGAGCCCGAGGAGCAGTGAGTGAAAGGGTCCAACAGGTGGGTGTGGGCACGGGTGGGGTAACAGGGATTAATCAGAGGTTTGCTTCGCATTCTTCTTTTTTTTTTTTTTGCTTTTCGGGGTCACACCTGGCAATGCTCAGGGGTTACTCCTGGCTTTGCACTCAGAAATCACTCCTGGCGGTGCTCAGGGGACCATATGGGATGCTGGGAATCGAACCTGGGTCGGCTGCGTGCAAGGCAAACGCCCTACTGGCTGTGCTATCTCTCCAGCCCCTTGCTTTGCATTCTTCTATCTTTAAAGTCCCTTTGGGGGGCGGGCTGTCGGGTAGACGTGCTTTGCTAAGATTCAAACCTAGGGCCTCTGCCTGGGAGCTGCAGTTCCGCAGGGGACGTGGCTCCGTGACGAAGCGCATGGCCCTGCGAGCATGAGACTGGGGCTCGGTGCCCAGCGTGCAGACGGGTTTGCCTACTGGGTTCCACCGAAGTCATCTGGCGATTCTGACATGTCGGCGTGACTCCCTTGCTATGAAAGTGCTGGCGGCAGAGGGAGGGCTCGGACATGCAAGCGCTGTGGGCAGGAACCGCCGAGCTGGGTACTGGAGCGCTCAGTTACAGACCTGATTATAGTACACGCACACAAACATTCACGCTGGGTTCCTTTCTAAGCCCCGGTTCAAATAAGGCACTCTTAACTTGATGTTAGAGAAATGTAAGAATACATTAATTTTCAAAGGGAGAAAAAAATGAGCTTACGTCTTCAGCTGTTTCAGGAGGCTCCTCAGGTAAAACAAGAACCTAAAGAAAAATTAGTAACAAGAATGTGAATATTATTTTTTTGTTTGGTTTTGGGGCCACACCTGGCTGTGCTCAGGGCTTATTCCTGGCTTCACACTCAGGGAGCATTCCTGGCAGTGCCAGGGATCAAACTCAGGTCGGCGATGTGCCAGGCAGGCATCTGAAAAATGTTTAAATATATCAGGAAGAGTTCCCTTTATTATGGAGTTCAGACATACCTAAACTTAATGCAAGTTTTTCTCTTATTAAACATTTATTAAAAAGTTACAATGAGGGGCTAGACTGAGAGCACAATGGATAGGGCATTTGCCTTGCATGTGGCTGACTCGGGTTTGATTCCCAGAATCCCATAGGGTGCTCCCCCCCCACACCCCCAGTACTGCCAGGAGTAATTCCCGAGTGCAGAGCCAAGAGTAACCCCTGAGCATCGCTGGGTGTGATCCAAAAACAAACAAACAAACAAAGCTACAATGAGAATGGGATTTCAATGAAATGGTTTGAGGTGGACGACTCTGTACTAACAGATCTTAAAGCAGGAGTTGGTTCCGTTCCTAAAGCTGGTGTTCTCCCCTGAACAGGTATCTCGCTTGCTTGTCCCTATGTTTCTTTGCTTGCTTATTTCCACTCTGGACAAGCCTGTGTTCTCTCGTGAACACACACTTCTCCTTTTCTCCCCCGTCACGTCTATCTAAACAAGTTTAAAGAAAATCTATCTTAGAGTGAAACTTGTTAAAATCTTCCTCTTAAAACAATGGACGAAAGGGGCTGGAGTGATAGCACAGCGGGTAGGGCGTTTGCCTCGCACGCGGCCGACCTGGGTTTGATTCCCGGCATCCCATATGGTCTCCGGAGCACTGCCAGGAGTGATTCCTGAGTGCAAAGCCAGGAGTAACCCCTGAGTATCGCCAGGTGTGACCCGAAAAGCAAAAAAATAATAAAATTTTTTTTAAAATAATAAAATTTTTAAAAAAATAAAACAATGGGCGAAAAAATGCTGGAGCAATAGTACAGTGGTGTTTGCCTTGCAAGAGGCCAACCTGGGTTGAATTCCTGGCATCCCATACAGACCCCAAGCATCATCAGGTGTGATTCTTGAGTACAGAGCCAGGACTAGGCCCTGAGCATTGCTGGGTTTTAGCAAAAACAAACAACAAACAAAAGCTCTATTTTGGGGTATTTCTGAGGTGTCAGGGATCAAACCCAGCACTCAGAAATGTACTCTACTTCTGAGTCATATCCTCAGCCCTAGAAACCACCTTTGCAGAGCACCTACAAGCTTTCTGTGGGGGGTTAGAAAAATCAGAGTTGTTATTCCAACTTTCTCCAGTTCCAAATCAAAGTTAAATTTAGAGATAAAAAAAAAACTTTTTTCTCTTTTTGGGTCACACCCGGCAATACACAGGGACTACTCCTGGCTCTGCACTCAGGATTACTCCTGGCGGTGCTCAGGGGACCATATGGAATGCTGGGAACTGAATCCGGGTCAGTCGCATGCAAGGCAAACTCCCTACCTGCTGTGCTGCCGCTCCAGCTCCAGGGATAAAATTTTTCAAAAGAAAGAAAGAATAGATGTTGGAGTAATAGTAAAGTGGATAGGGCGCTTGTCTTGCAGGCGACTGACCCAGGTTCGATCCCCAGCACCCCATACAGTCCCCTGAGTGCTCCAGAAGTGATCCCCAAGTGCTGAGCCAGGAGTAAGCCCTGAACCTAGAACCTTACACCCAGCACTGTACAAAAGCCAATGGTTACCAATTCCACCTCCTTCCCTAGAAGGAGACTGATGAAAAGAAGTTACGTTATTAGTTACTCACAAATAAATATAGCTAAATCCTATCTTAGTTATTCAAAGAAAACTTTCCCTGAGTACAATTAACATTATATTTTTTTCATATTTAGATAATCAAGTAATTTCCTAGGAAATAAATGAGGACTTAATAATCCTCTCATTATAGCCATAGCTTCCTTCTAAACCTGGTTGAGAAATCAATGTTAATAATAAATGCAAGCACAAAAAGTGAATCTTAACAACCTAGATCCCTCTGTAAAGCACTTGGAAGAAACTCTTTGTATTAAAAGCTTGGCTCCACCTTCACACAGTACATGGCCTCACCCAAACAATAATATTCCCTCCACCTGGATATGTCTCAGTGATAAGGACTAAGCAATAAACCTTCTTTTGTGTGGATTGTTCAACAGGTGGTGAAATTCTGACTGAAGGTTCAGGCAAGTTACGTCTCCTTGCCGCTTCTCTGTTTGATGTTTCAAAAGATGTCTGGCTCTCATTTTCATGCATCAGATCTTCATTGCCCTGGTAAAAAACAAGAGACAATTTAGACAATTTCTAAAGAAATGCTCTCAAACCAACTTTAATTCAAAATGGTTATTTTCTGGGGCCAGAGAAATAGGACGGCAGGTAGGGTGCTTACCCTGAACTTGGCTGATGATGCCGGTTTGATCCCCGGCATCCCATGTGGTCACCGGAATACCACCAGGACTAATTCCTGAGTGCAGAGCCTCTCAACATCGCCAGGTATGACCCCCCCAAAAAAAATTTTTTTTTCGTTCACCCTTCTGGCATTTCAGTAAAATATATAGTTGAGTCATTATTAGGCCAGAAAATTAAAGCTCCTTTGCCAAGAAAAACCTGAAGGGCCAGAGAGATGTAGCTCGGTGGACTGAGAGCACGCTTAGCATGCAGGAGCCCCAGGTTCAATCCTGAGCACAGAGCTGGAGTGACCCCTGTCCACTGCCCAGTGTAGCCCCAAGGCAAACAAAGCCAAACCAAGTGGAACTCTGGGGGCAATGAGCTTTCAGATCGTACTTCAGGGAAGATCTGGCCCCGTTCATTTAAAATGATGATTTGGGCTGGGGAGAGGTCTCAGTGATCAGAGGTGCATACCATATAGGCGCAGGGTGTAGCCCGAAAGCAAGCAACAATGAAAAACAAACAAGGGACCAGAGAGATGTAAAGCGGGTAGAGCATTTGCTCTGTACACAGCCAATCCAGGTTCAATCCCCGGCATCCCATATGGTCCTCTGAGCCCCACCAGGAGTAATTCCTGAGTGCAGAGCCAGGAGTAACCCCTGAGCCTCACCAGGTATGGCCAAAAATAAAAAAATAGAAACAAAAAAATAAATAACCACATCAGTGATTCAGTCAAGTTTTTCCAAAGGCTGCCTTTTTTTTTTAATTTTTTAAATTTTTATTAGTGAAACACCATGAGGTACAGTTGTCGACTTACAAATAGGCTGCCTTTTTCAAGGATTGAAATCTACGCTTTTTCAGCACCAAAAACCACTGACGCGCTTAACAAAATTACTCAACAATCACTGTCAATAAATAGACCATTACCCAAATTTCAAACTTTTAAAATCAATATATGCAAAAGGGCCCAGTAACGTCTCCATTGGAGACTTTGTTGTTACTGTGTCTGGCATATCGGATACTCTCGGTAGCTTGCCGGGCTCTCCGAGAGGGGCGGAGGAATCGAACTCGGGTCGGCCATGTTGGCCGCGTGTAAGGCGAACGCCCTACCGCTGTGCTATCGCTCCAGCCCGGCAAGCTACCGAGAGTATTCGATATGCCAGACACAGTAACAACAAAGTCTCCAATGGAGACGTTACTGGGCCCGCTCGAGCAAATCGACGATCAACGGGAGGGCCTTTACCTTTATATGCAAAAGGAAGCACATGCAATGACCAGAATCCAAAACAGCAATTCCTCACCCCAAGCTTATGGCCAGTGCTCAGCTTCCAGGCTCCACCTGCCATCTGATAAAAGCGCTCCTCCAGCTTTCTCAATTTCATTTCCTGCTGAGGTTTTAAAACAGTCTCTCGGTATACGCTGGCCTGTTCAAAGCAATAAACAGGGTGGCGTTACCCTACGTGCACTTTCCTCTGACTTTACGTTACTCAGCAAGCTGCAAAGGAGAAGTCAGAGAGACACAATCCATTTTGGAATCACCCAAATCCCCATTCGGGGGGTGTGTTCCCTTTACTTTATGGAGGTTCCTCCACAACACCCGCTCCCATCCTTCTCTCCCTCATACTTCCCAAATAAAACTATATTATTACACACACACACACACACACACACACACACACACACACACACATCCATACTGCTTTACACTAACTCGGTTTTGCTGAAACTACAGTATATTCAGGGCATTAAGCTGAGCACAGTCTACACGAAGAAGCACCAGCAGAAAGCCTCAGGTTTATTCTGTAAATTCACATACAGGGGCTGGAGTGACAGCACAGCGGGTAGGGCCATTTGCTTTGCACGAGGCCGACCTGAGTTCGATTCCCAGTACTGCATATGGTCCCCAAGCACCACCAGGAGTAATTCCTGAGTGCAGAGCCAGGAGTAACCTGAGCATCACCAGGTGTGGCTCAAAACTCAACCAAAAAAAAAAAAATGCTCACGTATATAATGCAAATAAGTACAAATGTTTCTGGTCTTTCCTCGGGGGGGAAGGGTAGTCTGAGGTACTCAGCAATGCTCAGAGACAAATTCTGTGCTTAGAAGTGACGCTTGGCAGTGCCCAGCGGACCATATGCAATCCCAGGGATCTAAGTGGGTCGGCAGCATGTTAAGGCAAGTGCTATCCTCTACTCTCTCCGAACCCCTATTCTTTTTTTTTTTTTTGCAGGGAAGAAGGGGTTTGGGCCCATACCCAGTGGGGCTCGAGGCTTAAGCCAGGGATTAACAAGCCAGGGACTGTTCAGATCAGCCACCTGCAAGGCAAGCACCTTAGTACTACACCAGCTCTCTGCACCAGCCCCCATTCTTACACTTAAATGGAGGCCTAGGGCCGGAGAGATAGCACAGTGGGTAGGGCGTTTGCCTTGCATGTGGCCGACCCAGGTTCAATCCCCGGCATCCCATATGGTCCCCCAAGCACGCCAGGAGTAGTTCCTGAGTGCAAAACCAGGAGTAACCCCTGAGCATTGCTGGGTGTGACCCAAAAAAAGCAAAAATAAATAAATAAATAAATAAATAAATGGAGGCCTACACATAACCTTCAGTATTAGGGGACCAGGGATGTGGCTCAGTGGTCAAGTGCATGCAAGAACTGCAGTTGATCCTCAGCATTGCAAACAAAGAAAAACAAAACTTATTAGAGCAAGTAATACTCACATGTGCAAGAAGTGTTCTGTGACTTGCAGGAGCGAGAAGTCAAGACCACTGTCAAGGTGAATGCCCTCTCAAGAAGGAGAAGCTCTCTTGGAAGAGTTTCAATTGAATACGGAGAAAAGAGTTTTTGGACTTAAGTGGATTCGTTCAAGCTATGAAAAGGTTGCATATGGCCAACCCATATGCCAAAGTGACTGTTTAAGGGATATGAATTTCGGGGGGAAAAAAGAAAGTATTCTGAATAAAAGCAATGAATGTTGTCACTAAATTATTTCTTATTTTTATTTTAGGGGTCCAGAGACAGAACAGCAGCACATTCTTCACATTCTTGCCTTGCTCACAGCTGACCTGGGTTTAATTCTCTGCACCCCATATGGTCCCCAAAACATACCAGGGATGATCCCTGAGCATAGAGCCAGGAGCAGCCCTGAGTACATCTGTGACCCAAATACTCTCCCATTCCCTAAAAAAAAAAAAAAAAAAAAAAAAAAATTTACTAATTATTTCAATTTTTTTATTTTTTTATTTTTATTTATTTATTTATTTTTGCTTTTTGGGTCACACCCGGCAATGCACAGGGGTTACTCCTGGCTCTTCACTCAGGAATTACTCCTGGCGGTGCTCGGGGGACCATATGGGATGCTGGGAATCGAACCCAGGTCGGCCACATGCAAGGCAAACACGCTACCCGCTGCGCTATTGCTCCAGCCCTGATTTCAATATTAATTTCAAAATCTAGCACAAAAACAAAAAGCAACAGACCTAAATATTAAATGCCAGGACTTGAGAGGTGAACCGGGGGCACTGGCCTGGCAGGCTGCTAACTCTGGTTTGATCCCCAGCACCAAATATGATCCCCCAAGTACCACGAGGGTCACTCCTAAGCACAGATCCAGAAACAGCCCCTGAGCGAGCACAGCCAGGTGTGGTCCCCAAACAAACAAAAAATAAATTAAATTCTGGGTCGGAGAGATAGTACCGTGAGTACAGTGCTCGCCTTGCACGCAGCCAACCGGGGTTCAAGCCCCAGCACCACACGTGGTTGTACAAGCCCCGCCAAGAGTGACCCGTGACCCCTGATGACAGAGCCAGAGTGAGTCTGAGCACAGTGGGTGCTCCCACACCAGATTTTTTTTTCTTTTTGGGTCACACCCGGTGATGCACAGGGGTTACTCCTGGCTCATACACTCAGGAATTACCCCTGGCGGTGCTCGGGGGACCATATGGGATGCTGGGAATCGTGTAAAGCAAATGACCTGCCTGCTGTGCTGTCACTCCAGCCCCTGTTTCTTTAATTCAATATGTAAGCGCTAAATGCCTGGATGGCTGGTATTTTGTCTATGTTCATACATATTTCATCAGTCCTGCCTTACCTTCTCACCCTGTAACTCTTGTTGCTTTTTCCTCACAAGTTTTTGCCTTTTCTCATTCTCCTCTTCTTCTTCTAAAACATCAAAATATAAAAGTGTTTTTAAATTTCTGAGTTACCAATGCAGTCAATTCTCTTTTCACTGAAAAGAGAATTCACTGTAGACCTTAACATTCTGGGAAAGAGAGGCTTTCAAAAAACATTTTTCATATAACGAAAGTGAGATCCATGCAGACATCGGAAACAGAGAACAAATCTGCAACCAGGAGCCAGAGAGAGAGTACAAGGGCGAGGGTGTTTGCCTTACGTGTGGCCAACACCGGGTTCCCCAGAACCACATGGTCCCCCAAGAACTGCCCAAAGGAACCACTGAGCACCACCAGAGGTTGTCCCCAAACAAAAACTTTGCAACAAAAATTCTATTCCCCCGGGTCTGGGAGCACATTCTTGGAATGCAAGAGCCCCGGGTTTGTTCCCCGGCACCACCAGTTCCCTGAGCCCCTCTGGGAGTCAACACTCAAGCACTGAGCTGGGCATAGCTCCCAAACACCGCCAGCATCTCAGACAAAAACATGCATGCATGGCATCATCTGGGAGAGAATTTTGAATACCCACAATTTTTTTTTATTAGTGAAACACCATAAAGTACAGTTGTAGATTTACAAATTTTTGTGCTTGGGTTTCGATTATACAATGATCAAACACCCATCCCTCCCCCAGTGCCCATTTCCCACCACCATGGATAATATCCCTCCCACCCCATCCCCCCCCATCCCACCCTGCCTCTGTGGCAGGGCATTCCCTTTTGTTCTCTCTCTCCTTTTGGGTGTTGTGGTCTGCAAAAGAGGCTTTGAGTGGCAAACATGTTCAGTCCATAGTCTACTTTCAACATGCATCTCCCCTCCTGGGAGGATCCTCCCAACACACTTTATTTGGTGCTCCCTTCTCTATCTGAGCTGCCCTTTCCCCTAGAATGTCCGGCTGGCCTCTAAGCTATGGATAATCCTCCTGGTGCTGATCTCAGCTAGTCTGAATACCCACAAATTTTTATGGTGGATTTATTTTTTCCTCTTGAGACCCATGAAAACCAGGGCAGCTCCAGAGCACGAGAACCCCCATTTGCACCCACGGTGTGGACTAGTGCGTAGGGAGCGGCACGCTGCCACCCTTACACTCGGCAGTGAAGCAACAGGCCTAAAGGAAGGGCAGAAGAGCAACTCCCAGAACGAAAGAACCAACAGTGGGTTATCACTCGCTGAACTGATCAAGAGAATTGGACTGTTGGATCTGAGAGCTAGTTCAACGGACCGAGCTCATTTTCTAGGAGTGGGAAGCCCAGGTTTGATCCCCGATACTGCTTGCTCACCCCGGCTCCCCAGTACCATAGGGAAAGACCCTGAGCAAAGCAATAAAGGAGGCAGCGCGACAGTCCAGTGGGTAAGGTGCTTCTCTTGCATGCAGCCAACACTGGTTTCATCCCCTGCATCCCATAAGGTTCCCTAAGGACTGCCAGGAGTAATTCCTCAGTGCAGAGCCAGGGGTAAAAGCCCTGCGCATTCTTGGGTATGGCCCCCAAACAAAATCATCAACAAAAACGTACATCTCAAACAGAAGTTAAGTTGCATACTTAAGACAATTTAAATGTAGAGGCTATATAATGCACCAACTTAGAAAGAGTATGATCTCTAATGAAAGCATAAGAAAGAAGTATGATTTCTCATTAAAATGTAGAGGTTTATACTCCATTCAAACCTACGGCTAAACTTTGAAATAAAAGTACATATCAAAACAATAAATAGTAAAGGGGCTGGCGCAATAGCACAGCGGGTAGGGCGTTTGCCTCGCACGTGGCCAACCTCAGTTCGATTCCCAGCATCCCATATGGTCCCCTGAGCACCATAAGGAGTAATTCCTGAGTGAAGAGCCAGGAAGAACCCCTGTGCATTGCTGGGTGTGACCCAAAAAAAAAAAAATAGTAAAATGTTGTTTTGTGTGGGGGCCACGCCTAGCAGTGCTCAGGGCTTATTCCTTGCTCTGTGCTCAGGGAGCACTCCTGGTGCCGATCAAGGAACAATTGACCAGGGATCAAACAGGAGTCTGACACGTACAAGGTAAGTGCCTTACCTCCTGTGCTCTCTCATCAACCCGGTAACACGTTTATCATTGTGGAAAGTGCTAGAACAAATAAAGGAGAAACTTAGTAGAAAAGTATAAAGTAGCATAAATAATAAACTTACCTTTCAGATAAACTGGAGAAGATTTAAAAGAGTTCAGCCATGAGGTAGCCACAGAAATAATTAATGTAAGAAGAGCAAGCAGTAAGAAAATCCGGCCACAGAGCAAAATTATATCTTTAATTCCTTAAAAGATAAAAAAGAAAAAGTTAGGGCCAAAGTGATAATACAGCGCTTGCCCTGCAAATGGTTGACCTGGGTTCAATTCCTGGCATGCCACTCGATCTTCCATACCCTACCAGGAGTGATCCCTGAGCACAAGGCCAGGATGCAGTCCTGAGAACTGCAGGACTGTGTGAACACCCCCCTCCCCCCAAAAAGTTAAAGTTTACTTTTCTTAATACTACAAATAATGCATTAGATTATACTATTAACATATAGAAAAATTTATGTGATACAACTGTACCATAACTTCATATCTCTCTGGATTCTAAAATTGATCATGACCATCATTATCAGAACAAGTTTGGAAAATAATTCTGAAACATATGAAACATAGATATGATCCAAGTGAGTTCACATGATAAATTTACGAATGATGCATAAATTCCGCTTATAAAATGCAATTTTTTTTCTTCTGCTCAGAGAAGATAATATTAGCCACATAATTAAGAATTGTGGGGCTGGAGGGATAGCCCAAAATGGTAGAAACCCCTCTCCAAAAAAAGTTATTTAATACCACAGCACTGAGTTATGGAACTTATGTTCCTTTTGTTCTAACAAGCAAGCAATCTTCATGTGGGAATACAGAAAACTAGACTTCTGTGTCTGTGTGTGTGTCTGTGTCTGTGTGCACATGCAGCAATAAAGTGAAAAAAATTTAATTAGGTTAATTCTTCGGGGACCTCCTCTCCAGTCGGTGTGCAGAGAAAGTTAAGCGAGAAATAAAAGTGAGGAACCAACTTGGTAATACTTATGTAACTACATCGATGATAATAAGGCTTTTCGCAAAGAAAAAAAAAAAGAGTGATGCATCATTTTCACTATTGGTGCAAAAGCACAGTCCTGGAACGGGGAACAGTTCTAACACCGTCCCCCTTGGGTGTTCTATGAGCAGCTCCAGCCAAGAGGATGAATATGAGGGCTTGAGAGATACTGCGGCGGGTAAGGCTGGAAGTAGAATAAAATAATGATAATAATAAAATATTCCATGGGATTATCTCGCGCCACTCTCCGCTAGTCTTTCCGACGCAGTCACAAATGCAGCCTCGTGCATTTCCTCCAACACGTCACAATTCCTTGGCCTGGGAGCTTCATCCCGACCCGCTTCCCCGGGCTCCTCCTCATTCCCATCTCTGCGTATATTCTCCAGGCCAACTCAACATCAACCCCTTGGGTTCCTGCCGGGTCTTCGGGAGAATTCTAAAGCGGTTTCTCTGCTTCTGGACCTCCCGCCTCCTCCCTCCATTCAAAGCTGTCCCGAGCGGGAGGGGCCGGGCCGCGCCGCGCCCCGCCCCGCCCGCCCCCGGGTACCAAAACCGGAACCGGAAGTGATCGGCAGGCGCGGTGCCGCCTGGGAGTTGTAGTCCGGTCCCCGCGGCGGCCCAGCCGCCCGACTGTCACTCTCCAACACCGCCGGAAAGCTCCGCGCGCGAGAGAGGCGAGAGAGGAAGCAAAAGGCGCAGTTCACCTAGGTCTGGGGTCGCCCGCCGCAGCTCCAGACACAGCAGGGGCAGCGCCGAGAGGAGCAGAAGGCCCAGGAGGCCGCGGGCGGCCATGGCGCGCGGTGGTCCGGCGGCAAAGCCCGCCTCTTCCGGCGGGGGCGGGCGGCGGCTGCTGCGGGGCGGGGGGGCTGCGGGCCGGCGCGCGTGGACAGCGCGTGGACAGTGCGTGGACAGCTCGCCGCGGGAATGGACAGCTGGCCGCGGAAGGGGGCGAGCCCGGGTGTGCCCCCCGATCTCCGCCCCTGCGGCAGAGCCGAGTCCGGAGCGGATGGGGCGGGGCCGGCCCCTGATTCGGGGTCCCGAGCCCGCGACCCCCTGCGAGGGGCCAGCCTTGCCGCAGGCCGCCCCAGCGAGTGACCACCGGTGTCAGCCTTTGAGACCCCCGTTCTCCGCCCCCACCCCACCACCCCCCGCGCAGCCTCCCCGGGTGCTTCCACCGCGCCCTGCGCCCCCTCCCATCCGCCTGCAGGCCTCGGGGCGACTCGCGGTGCAGAGCAGAGCCCGCCCCGGGAAGCTCGGTTTGGGGGGCACCGCGCTGCCCACCAGGCTGCCGGCCCGCTCCAGGAGCCGACGCTGAATCGTCGTGCCTGGGGGGCGCACCCGGCCGTGCCCGGGGCTTCCTCCCTCCTCTGTGCTCAGGGGTCACCCCTGGAGGTGCCCACGGGCGGGCTTGGTGTGGGCAGCAGCCTACCGGTGCCCCTTATTCGCTGTGCTAGGCTCCTGCCCTTTGTAAATGGGTGGGTGGGAGATGTTAAAAAGGGAGGGCAAACAAATACTAAAAAGGAGGTTGTGGGGCTGGAGCGATAGCACAGCGCGTTTGCCTTGCACGCGGCCAACCCGGGTTCGATTCCCAGCATCCCATAGGGTCCCCTGAGCACCGCCAGGGGTGATTCCTGAGTGCAGAACCAGGAGTAACCCCTGAGCATTGCCGGGTGTGACCCAAAAAAGCAATAAAAAATAAAAAGGAGGTTGATAGAGAACAGATAGGCAGCGGGTAGGGAGCTTGCCTTGTGATCTCCACCCCACATGCTCCCCCCTCCCCCAGCTGCTCCAGGAGGGATCCCTGGGTGCAGAGCCGGAGGGGGGGCGGTAGCTCCTGAACACCGGTGGGCGTGCCCCCCCCAAACCAACGACAGAGGGTGGTCTGCACAGCTCAATGAGCACTTTGCATGCAGAAGGCTTGGAGTCCACCCCGAGATGGAACCTTGGACCATCCCGGTCCAGAATGGCCCCCCAAACTGCTAGGTGTGCCACACACCCCTCCAGAAAAAAAAAAATTGGAGGAAGGTGGATGTGGGTCGGGGGAGTGGCACACTCGTAGGCTATGTGCCTTGTTTGTGCCTGACCCTGGCACCTGAGAACAGAAAGGAGGAGGCAGTTCCCTGGTTAGGAAACTGCAGAAGAACCCTCTGAGCTGATCTAGTTGCACTGTCCTGGAGAGCCAGTCGTTTTCATCCACTGGGAAACAGGTGTAGGCTCAGAGAGCTTTACTGACAGTAGCTGGAAGAGGGCCGCTCAGGTCAGCACACAGCTGGCTTTGTCAAAAGAAAAACTTCATGGCGCGGCAGAGAGGTACTGTGAACCTTCGACCGCTGGGTGCAAACCCAGCCCACCGTGTTTGGTCCCTGGTACCATATGTGTTCCCCTGAGCCCTGCCAGGAGTGATCCATGAGATTCCTCTGGAGCCAGGAATAAGCCCTGAGCACCACTGGGTGTAGCCCCAAAATAAAAACTTTACAAGTACAGAAATGAAGTACCTTTTAGGAAGGCTGGTTTGTGGAACGGTGGGCTCCAGAGAGGTCCAGATCCCCTCCAGGGCTGGTCCAAAGCACACTTCCATGACATGTGCAAACGGAAACCAGAGGTTTCTGAGTGTGGACTCAACCTGTCCTTACCTTGGATTTTTTTTGTTTTGTATTCTTTCTGGGGGTGGGGGAGACTCTGTCCTGCCAGGAATCTCTGGCCTCTCACAAGCAAAGTACAGAGGAGGTGAGGCTCTTGCCTTGCATGCAGCTGACGTCAGATCTCCAGGACCACATAATAGTGCCTCAGCACCTCCAGGAGTGACCTCTGAGCACCACTGAGTATGGCCCCCAAACAACAACAAATTAATAACTTCATTTACAGAACAAATCTCTTCCATCCAACTATGTCACCTTGAAAGTTGCTGTTTGCCGTAGATCTTTTGTCTCCCCTTATCACTTATCACTTAACTTCCCGATTTGCTCAAGCGGGCACCAGTAAAGTCTCCATTTGTCCCTGTCATGTGCTACTGTAGCCCAATGGCATCTGTTCACTCTGGGAACATGAAGAGCCTCAAACCGATCATTCATGATCTTCACGAAGAAGTCTGACCATCTGGTAGGTGGGCGGCCACACGGTCTTTTGACATCCTGTGGAAGCCAGTCGGTAACAGCTCTAGTCCAGCGGTCGTCTTTAAATCTCATTACGTGACCAGCCCATCTGATTTTCGACACCTTGGCAAATGAGCCAGCTACAGGAAATCATGGTTTGTTGCTTCGGGCAACTGATAAGGCTGTTCTCATGATGACAGCAAAAGAATCAGGATGAGGGAGTGCTGGGGTGATAGCACAGGGGTAGGGCGTTTGCCTTGCACGCAGCCAGCCCAGGTTCGATTCCCAGCATCCCATATGGTCCCCCAGGAGTAACAGGAGTAACCCCTGTGCATCGCTGGGTGTGAAGCAAAAAAAAAAAAAAGAATCAGGAAGAGAGCTTGGGAGATACAGTGCGAGGATTAAGGCTCTTCCCTTACTTCCCGAGGACCTTGATTCAATTCCCAGCACCACCTATGGTCCCCCGAGTACCACAAGGAGTGATCCCTGAGCACAGAACCGGGAGTAGCACTGGAGACACCTCTAGGTGTGCTCCCACTGACCCCCAAAATGAACAAGCAAGACTCCAGGCTGTCTCTGTTGGTGATCACAGCTGTTCTTCCCTAGCAAGCATCTCCCTGCAGTCCCAGGGTCCGGCTTCATCAGCCACCCCCCAGCTCAGTCTGAAGGGGGGGGGGTGCGGAGAAGCTCACCTCTAGGGGATGGGAGAGCAGGAAGAGATTCCTTTTGTGCCCACAAAGATCCTTTTCATGCCACACAACTTGTACTTGATCTCAGGAATGTGATGAACTTGGTGTTATGGAGCAAATTTATTTTTTGAGGGTTGGTTTTGGTTTTGGTCAGACCGCCCCTGGTGGGGTTCAGAGGCGACTCCTTTCTTTGTGCTTGGGGACCCGTGCAGAGCAGGGACTCAAACCAGTTCTCCTGCATTCAGAGCAGCACTCGGCCCACTGGGCTACCCCTCAGACCTGTCCAGCATCATCTTAATGAACCGTAGCTTGCAGATAGCACCTTCTCTCCAGTCAGAGCTCTTAAGCCTGCTGTTTAGGGAAAAACTTGGTGGGGACCAGTGAACAGAAGCCAAACACACAGCATTTGATTATCAGCATCCAGGGCATGGGAGCTGCCACGTGCTTCCTTGGGACCATCAGCTGTGACTATGCTTGGCCCAGAAATAAAGGGGGATTCTGATTAAGAGAAGGGAAGCAGTGAAGCAACCCAGTGGAGACCTCTGCTTTCTGCTGTCTGGGGGCACACTGCATACCACAGTACTAGGCGGGTCCCGAGCTGAGCATGGTGGATGCCCTAGAGAGACAGATGTCCAGTTCAAGCGAGGCTGGGAGGTGAGAGAAGTAGGCAGAAGAAAATCTCCAAAGATCGACCTGGAGTTCTTAGTTACACAGTAAAAGGAGGTTGTGTACGGGACCAGGCAACCAGATCAGGAAACTAGAAGATCCGTGAGTCACACAGCCTGAGACAGACTTTAATGTATCAGCATCCTTGCTGGTCGCCTAAGGAAGCAATCTGGACACATCCTCTGCAGATCAACTGAATGTTAGGCTTTGCAAGTCATGCGATCTTTGTTTAATTATTTTTATTTATTTTCTCCTGGCGGTGCTCGGGGGACCATATGGGATGCTGGGAATCAAACCCGGGTCAGCCTCGTGCAAGGCAGATGCCCTACCCTCTGTGTTATTGCTCCAGTCCCTGTGTTTATTTACTTTTGTAGCATGAAAACAGACAAAAAAGGGATGGACAGCAAGGGACCTAGAGACAGTGGAGATGTGATACTGGTCCTTTGGTGGTGGTATCGTGCATTTACAGTTTTTGCTCAAAACAAACGTTTACACTATCATAGAGATAGTACAGAGAGTTCAAGGGCTTGCCTTGCATGCACTGTCCCAGGCTTAGTCCCCAGCACTCCGTTCTGATTACTTTCAGGAATGAAATCAATACAGCCAGGAGTGAACCTTGAGTATTACCAGGTGTGGCTCAACACCCCTCCCCAAAAAAGTACACAATCGTGTTAACTCAGTTAAAAACAAATACGTACAAGGAAAGCATGGCTGTGTTCTGATAAATAGGTGTGGCCGAGCTCTAATAAAGCTTCATTTATAGTCTGTGGGCTGGATCTGACCTGCAGAGTTTCCTGACCCCTAATCTGAAGTATTTAAAAACCTCAAACTATCTTAGTCATGGAGTAATACTTCAAACTATCTTAGTCATGGGGTAATACTTCCTTGTGGTAAAGGGAACCTTTTTAACCTTGCTTAACAAACCTATAGCACTGTAGCACTGTAGCACTCCTGTTGTTCATTGATTTGCTCAAGCGGGCACCAGTAACATCTCACAACAAACTGTAAGGCTTGTTGTTACTGTTTTTGGCATATCGAATACATCACAGGTAGCTTGCCAGGCTTTGCCAGGCGGCTGAGATCCTCTCAGTAGCTTGCCAGTCTCTCCGAGAGGGGCAGAGGAATGGAACCCGGGTCAGCCGCGTACAAGGCGAACACCCTACCCACTGTGCTAGCTCTCCAGTCCCCATATATGAAATACATGTATATATATGTGTGTGTATAATAGTCATTGGGCCACAACCAGCTGTGTTCAGGGCTTACTCCTGGCTCTACAGTGGCTGTACACTCAGGGATCACTCCTGGCTCTACCCACCTGGCGGACTCAGGTGACCATATTGGGTGTCAGGAATTGA